GAGAGAGATATGAAGTGGGAGCGGGACGGCCGGCGGGGCGGGGACGGGCGCGGGCGCGCACGAAGTTGGGGTGTAAGGCGGTTTGCCAAGCCGCGCGGCTGGAATGGAAAATCAGGCGTCTTCGGCGGGGCGGGGCGCGCGGGCGCAAAACAAACTTTTATTTGGCATATGGCGAATAAGTTTGTGCCCCGGCCAAAAGAAAGTCGGACGAGCTAAAAACAGGGGGAATGGAGAGGAACGGGTCGGGGAGGGGGAGTGAGTGGAGTCAGGGAAATGGTAAAACGAGATGATGAGAGAGATGTGCATGTGTTGGAAACCTAATCTGGGTTTGGTTAGGTTGGGTGATGGGGATGGTGATGGAGGTGAGCGTGGGAGATGCCGAGTGAATGGAGATGGTGGTGAAGGGAGGATGAGGGGTGAGTTGAGTTGGGGTGGGGTTGCACTGGGGAGTAATTTTTGATCGAATTCATGTAGTGATTTCGGACGCGTCAACTGCTCAGGTGTCCAAGGAGAGTAGAGCGTGCTTTTTCTTAGGGAGGTGGTGGTGGTGATCCTAGATGGTAGGTCCAGCACCGACCTACTGTAGGACAGTGGAACTTTCCCCAACCAGTTATCTCCGGCCAGTGGGGCAACTCTCCAACTCTCCAAACTCTCCAAAGCTCTGAGCTCCCGACTGGTATGTGGTAGTGTAGTGCATGTAAGTGTAAGTAATAAGGGGAGGTCCCTGGCCCGTTTGGTAAGGTACTGCTCCGCTATTCGCCTGGTGTCGCTAGGAGAAACCACAGGAAAGTACCGATCAGACCAGCCGGTCGCTAGAATTCTACGTCAGACAATTCGACCTAGTTAACTAGCTAGTGTCGAAAATACTGCCACCGTCGGGACTGGAGCCTAGGCCCTCCCGGTCAGAGGCACTGCACTGACATCAGTTGATGCATTATGTCACTTCACTCATCAATCGAAAATCCACCGCTGCCAATCGAATTTGAACCCACGGACTTGCGGTTCCGACGCGACTGCGCTAGACTCAATGCCGCAAAAAAGTCTCATAGGCTAGGACGGAACATCTATAAATGCTCTACCCGCCGTCTGCATTTAGGAGACTAATTAAAAAGAGTCGAACGCAACGAAATGGAGCAGATAACCTCTTTCTCTTCATTAATAAAACCGGGCTTTCGAGCTAACGATTCAATCCACTCGTCGAAGAATTCAAGGCACAGTCAACATTTCACTTCATTCCGTATCAATTCATTGAAGGTAAAGCCCAGGTGTACAACACCTCCAAGATGAAATATATGATTTATTGCATACATATAGAATCATATAAATCCTTAACATTTTTGTTTGTTTTTCTTGGGTGCCGTTTTTAATATTTCACGAACTAAAAATCTGAAAAACATAGTAATTAACATGTAAAAGGTTCTTATAGCAATAAAAAAATTGAAATAAATAGAACTTCAAGTAATATGAAGCGATAAATACCCTTAATGTAAACTAATTTCTCAATAACGTCCATGGTTAATACATTTCTATATTTGTTTCTAGTAATACCTAATTATAATTTGGAATATAATAAATCAGAATTCGTAAAGAAAGTTTGAAATCCGTACATTTATTTAAAAATATAGGAAGTGCCAGAACACAAACTAGTATAAAAAAAATCATTTCGCAATTATGAATTCGTATTTTTGTGAAGGCACCGAAGCAGTTAATACAGATCGAAGTAATGTTTATTGTACTAATTCGTTTTACAATATGCACTTTACTTACTACAAGTCATGCCATCTCTGCTGATTAGGTTAACATTTACAAGATTCAAATGGTGTAACTATCAATACTATTACACCTATCCTGGAATTTATTAGCAAATTTGTTGACCTTTGATATAAATACTTATACGTGTAGAATACTAACCGGGAAGGTTTCAAATTTAATAGCCTTTATTTACCATTTCCCTGTAATGCAAATATTAGAGTTTAATCATCCGTAATGAAATGATTTGGATTCACTTGATATACGTGTCACGTATAGTTTGTATTACGTACACTGTTAGACCACGCCTTTAAAACAAATACTGAGTTTTGCTAATTAACTAGCTATAAACACCGCTATACGTGAGGTTATTAGGATTTCCAAGAATTACAAACTTATTTTATGTTGTTTCTGAGAAATAGTGACAAATATTAAGCATATTTTTTAAGAATATTTATTTCTTCAAAATACTTATCATTATGTTCAATGAAATTCTTTCAAGTTCATTCAAAATTATTATTAAAACGAACATGATATGATAGTAATCACAAAACTGTTTTAATAAAACATGTTTCTATGATTTTCGTCTTTCCTGTGTTATTCATATTAAATTAGTACTCTTTGCAATTTACCTAGTGATATATAAAATTTCGTAAGGAAAATAATCGACTATTTATTCAAGACTTCTGTTATTTATTTCCCAAAATCATTTTTATCTGCACTTTCCATGTAGATTACATTACTGTAAATCAAATACTTTCACTTATAAAACTAGATTCCTCGATCTAACTCTCTAGTTATTCTGAATCGTCTTGTCGATTCATTACGAGGGTTAGTCGTACCTACGCTCACCGAAAATTGACTTAACCGACTGGAAAAGATTTCCTTATTTATATAGCAGAAAGTAGTCTCTGTCAATCCTGAGACAATAGTTGCCTACGTTGTATACGCACTCTTCAATATTTATTGATCACCTTGAGATAGCCTGTATGATTCGAAAACAATGATTTTTTCGTAATAAAATATTGTGAGTCTAACAAGACGATCAAAATACTCTTAAGATGAATTACGTTTAGTGAAGATGGAGTTATTGTGTTCGAGAATAGTGGATTGGTTTAACTCAATCTGATTTGAAGATACAATTTGATTTTGAGCATTACTTATAGAGTTTAAAAGAAAAATGTAATATGTAGTTTTTATAGAAAAATCAAATTAATAAACTTAATTACCTAAATAAATAGACAATCCATTCCATTGACACTCGCTGTATGAAATCTTAGGCGTAATGTTTTCTCTGACCCAGGTTTATCTTTTACTCTTATTCATCTCCAGACTGCAAATATTTCAAAATTTGCAAAATTTCGGAATATGTGAATATTTCTCTGACAACAGTAAACATATTTAAAATCGTTCGACTTAATTACGCACAGGAGTTTGTTGATTAAGTCTAATATAAAAAAAATATAACCAATTTATTCTCAACTCTTATATTCAACAGCAAAAAATAAGAAGAATATTCAACAATTCTTATAAACACCTGTTTTTTGTTGCGTTTCTTTACGCTTCCAGTGGGAAGATTCAGAACCTCCCAAACCAAAAGCAACTGGATGTGTACTCTCATGCGTGGCAGAAGAGTGGGGGAAATTACGAGAGCTTTGAGAATAGAAAAGAACGCACAGCCTCCTGGCAGTTACGACTCCGGTAATGTTCCAGGCACGCCAAGAAAAACGCCGGCTCCCAGCTTTGTAAAAGGGGAAGTTATCTTTATTTAAATTTCCGACGACGACGCAACGGACGCATTCTCTTTTAGGGGCCGCATAAAATTTTAATGCTAACATCTCCGGAAAAGATGATGAAATCGTAAACCTTGTAAAAGCTAAGATCCGTTTGCAGAATATAAATGTGTTATTTTATCCTAATATGCAAGGAAACACGTTTGATTTAGGTGCTACGTTGGTTAGCACGGAAATCTATGCGTTAAGTGAGATATTAAAATTGCAGAAGCTTTAAATATTTCGTAGCTACTACGTATGAAGCATTTCTTCGTAGTCTGCTGAAGTCTCGTGCATCCTAAGCTTTTCTGTGTTTGCGTTTATTAATGCGAAGTACAAAGCAGGAGTTATAAATAAAAAGGATGAAGCAAATCTAGTTGTTGTAAATACTTTAAAACGTTTTTTAAAATCTTCTAGAGAATACTAACGACGTCTAATGTGAGCCGGACGACGCTGCATGGAATATTAAATGCCAAAACTGAGTCGTTGAATTTAATTGTCTTTTAAATAAACACTTCGCGTAGCGTTTTATAACAGCGACGTTGTTCTCGAAGGACACAATGACGTTCACAAGGAAATATAAAACTTGAGGCAGAGTGAGCAATTCTTATTCGTTAGGAAAAGTATGTCACAGAAAATTTAGAATAAAACAGTAAAGAAACAAAATTAAATTTTCCTTTCGAGATGCGCAAAGCTCGCAATACCTTCTATATTAAAATAGTCTTCACGTCTTTGGGTTGTTGATAAATTATCTTTTGTGTTTTTAAGTACCAAACCGGCTGTGACAGTATAAGCATGTGTGAATACCATTGTCTCAAAATATTTTTGTTGTAACAAACCGCAGCCGATGTGGCTGGTCGAAGTGGCTAAGTGTTTGTACCGTCTCAGCGATCGGTTTTGAGGGTTGAGGGTTCAAGTTCCGCATTGGGTATGGTTGTGTTCACATACCTCTTACGTACGTGTTTTAGCGGAGAGCCTCGCAATCTGTTACTTTGAGCGCAGAAGAGCCAGTGGCTATGTTGGTGTTTGGTGTACGTAGAGTAATCAGCTGCCACCTGGATAAAGACCTTAAAAAGGCAATTGGTCATTTAGAGTGTTTTTCGGGACACAATTTTTAATTTATAAAGTATTGCATTTAATTCGAAAAACCAACAAAGGCTAAACGAAACAAACATTGATGCTAAAATGTTAACTCATGAGAAATATTGGAACACATGCTTACACGTAATTCGAAGAAACTTTATTTTAATAATGTTTTTTTCAAAACTCCCATTCCATTTGAAAGCAGAAAGATTTATTCATCATAACAAACACGCTACTCTTATACAATTGATCACATGTTGTTCATTTATTTAAATAATCATTCAAATATAAAGCGTTTGAAGTAGAAACCTTGATATTTCTGATTTTAATCGACGCAACACCATTTTTACGTACCAAAAATAAACAATTACTTATTTAACCTTAAATTCTATTTGAAGTATATCAACGGTTTTAAATATGTAAATTAAGGGAAGAATAAGACCAAAAAACCAACACTAAGAGCACTAATTAGAGTGAACGAATCCCTTAAAGAATGCATAACAAAATGTTCATATTTAATTTTCCCACCGGAAAAGGTGAAAGAGAGTATCAATTGCGGCTACGTAAAAATCATACGTTGTCTAGAGGAGACCTGGAGCAAACGGCGGCTCCAATACGACGGTTTCTACGGTTTCTCACAGAAATATACCTGTAGAAGTACAGTATAAACGTATAAGAAAAGGAAGTTACTAAATTATTCGGTCAGATTTATAAGACTACGAATTACTAGTATGTACTCAATACCTCTATGTTCACACGTAAAACCCCGTTACCCGACGAAGTACGCCGCAGGTCCCCGGTTCAAACCCGAGTGCCCCCTGTATTTTGTGTTATCTGTGGCTTCCCTGAAACCAAGAAAAACCGCCAAAAGACGTTTCTCAATGGGGGTATAGCTCAGTGGTAGAGCATTCGACTGCAGATCGAGAGGTCCCCGGTTCAAACCCGAGTGCCCCCTGTATTTTGTGTTATCTGTGGATTCTCTGAAAACAAGAAAAACCGCAAAAAGACCTTTCTTAATGGGGGTATAGCTCAGTGGTAGTCCATTCGATTGCACATCGAGTGGTCCCCGGTTCTAATCCGAGTGCGCCCTGTATTTCGTGTTATCCACATAGCGTAATCCAAGTATCGGAAATGTTTGGTTAATTATTTTTATCTAATATCCTGCAAGATGTTATTCTTTTATAGGAGCTCTGATCTTTGCATATCCAATATAATTTAATCTGCCGCTTCTTTATTCTGATCCGCCGTTGCATTTATATCTCTTCATTGCTGAGGTCTGTTAAATACTCTTTTAAAGTTGCAACAGAAATAAAATATACTCGTCGGAAATTTTGGTTTGCTAAGCAGTCGGCAATCTGTTACGTGCTCCGTGTTTGCGAATTTATCGTTCTGTATTCTTGATCCATGGAATAACTATACGAATATCTAAAGCTTTTTCCAACGTTCAGCCAATCTTGTAGTCACTTGAAGACACTATTCTGATTGGAGAATTTAAATAAGCATTTCACTTCAAACATTCCGACACATCAAGCGTTTTTTTTTTTTTTTTTTTTTTTTTTTTAACATTCGCCAGTGTGTGCTAAAACAAACCTGACTCCATAACAACCTATTACATTAATAAATTGTTTGTTCTCTTTCCAGTTGATACACTCGATTTGGGTTCTCAACAGCATACAACAGCACACTACAAAAATTCACACACAATACAAGTAAATTATTATACAATACCTTGCCAGATGAGAAGAACGATATGATTCGGTACACAATATTAAGTTCCAAGTACAATCTTTTCTGTTTCACAATTGTTTCAATGCATTTAGAGACTATACCGAGCATCTAAAAGGAAATTAATATTAATTTTAACAAGGACACTTAGCGTATTATTTACCATTTGTATTGTATAATTCTAAAGAACCTGTAACAGGTATTGTACTTCAGCTTCTGGATCAATGACCCTCATCTCGATCAGGTTTTCGTCTAGTTTCCCCGATCCTTAAACAAATTCCCGGATGGCCCCTTGTTTAGCTTCTGGGCAGAAATATATTATCAATTTAAGGTGCACGTCACACACAGGTTTTAACTGTTATGATGTAAATAAAAAAAATTATACTTTCATTTCGTGACACTGCTACCATGGGGGTTAACAGCCCTGAACCTGCCGTTCAAAGGCCCGCCCCCCATAGGCCGGTGCGCGTGACGACCGGATGGCGTTTGTGTGTTGGCGCAGGGCGACGGCGCGCGAGCGGGCAGCCCCGAGGGCGCCGAGTCGCTGGCCGGCGTCGGGCTGATGTGCGGCTGCGAGCTCGGGCTCGCTCCGGCGGCGGCTGCCCGCCCAGCCGGGCTCCCGGCGTCCGCCTCCGCCGCGCTCAGACGCCGGGAGGGCTGCGTCTGGGCGACGTGGACGCGCCCTTACCGGCCGGCGCCGACGCCGTCGCCGCGCGCCTCGCGGCGGAGGGCCAGCAGCCCCAGCCGCCCTTCTCGCCCAGGTGAGTTCGCCTCCAAGGTCGCACTTTGTCCGCGCACCGCAAAAGTGGATCAGATCATTTATTTTCTTTTTGTCTTGTAAACATCGAAAAAAATATTTACAAAATTGGGACTTACTATTCAGGAAAATTCTGAGTAAATACATAACTGTTCATTATCCATCCATGCGAAAAGCATTGCGAATGTGCATCAAATCTCATTACTATTAGATTACAAAATCAATGCAAGCTGACACATATTTGCGTTCTGAACCACATATTAAGGATTGTTATTTTATTAATATATTACAAAATTAAGTACTAAAAATACTCAAAAAAGAGTTATATTAACGATAGTAAAAGACAGAAAAATGATTATGTGGTCGTGAGTTATATTCTCACCTGAAGCAAAGTTTTCTATCGTACATCTCTCAGGTGATTCGAGACAGGCAGAGAAGGCCTTCATCCGCGTCGCCTCGGTAGCGCAGTAGGCAGCGCCTAAGTCTCATAATCTTAAGGTCGTGAGTTCGATCCTCACATGGGGCATCGTTTTCCTTCGGTTCCTAGATGGGTTATTTTCTCAGTGGCAGGTGTCAACATTTGCATCACAGCCTCGGTAGCGCAGTAGGCAGCGCGTAAGTCTCATAATCTTAAGGTCGTGAGTTCGATCCTCACCCGGGGCAGATTTTTCTCTCGGATCTCTCGGTTGAATCGAGGAAGTCTGGAAAGAGCTTATTCTGCTATGCCTTGGTTCCACTGTAGACAGATAATTTGTTGTTGACACCTCTCGATATTGAAATGCATATTATCTTTGTTGTATCCATTACGTTATGCCAACTATATATTCTGTCTGGTTTTTTTTGAGTATTAGCTCCATTTTATTGTTAATATTTTTGCTTTTAATAGTTTCTATGAACTCATAAAAAGAAAAATTGATTTAATGTTCATTAATACTCAAAATATTTGGAAACTTAATGGTTTTTTTTTTAGGAAAAAGAGTGTGAAATGTTTATTTAATCTTCAACCCTCAACTACTTTACTGATTTTTTCCGCCACTGCAACTCTCTTTGCAGCGTGTCAGCGCCGACGACGCCGTCGCCGCTGCCGCGGCCGCCCGTCACGTCGTCGGCGCCGTCGACGCCGTCGTCCACCGGCACGGAGCCCGCGCCGCCGCCGCCGCCCGCGCTGCCGCCGTCGCACCCGCTGCCCCGCGCGCCCGCCGCTGTGCCCGGCCCCTTCGGACACGGACTCTTCCCCACCTTCGGCGACGGGTGAGTCCCGCTCTGTTTCATTTACCAACCGCAGACGACTGTCGATGCGTCCTGGGACGTTTATCTCAACCACTTCGAACATTCTACGTAGAGTGGCTGATTCTATGGTTTCAGTGCTCTTGGTGGACGATCGTAAACCTGGGGCCGCCAGGTTTTTTGCTGTCAAAAACATGAATGGTTGCTGGTGATGGCATGTGGATCTGTTGTTATCTTGATTCGACGTGTTGATTGTATCAGATCTTATTTCTGTATTGTTGTCTTTTTCGTTTAACTGTATTTAAAGTATAGTGATTAGGCGACGGCGTCGTCGGCGCTGACACGCTGCAAAGAGAGTTGCAGTGACGGGAAAAAAAATAGTGGTTAGAATAATAATACTCACAATGCCTGCAATATGTTCGGCTTATACCTTTAAGAACAGATTTAATCGAACCAAAAATATATAATTTTTCTAATACTTTATTTCTGACTTCTACTACAGAGTCTAATGTATGTTTCATAAAATTCTAATAGCACATTTTTATTATATCGAATAACTGCCCTGAGGGCGCTTCTTTCACTGCAAATCAATGGCTTCAATTTATTGCAATGATGGCGGCGCTTCAGCCACTCTATGTAGCATATTCTAACTAGGTTTACCTATCTCTCCAAAAGGGCATTTCCTGTGTCCTTTCTGTTCTGTTTTCCTCCTTAAGGCCCCTTGACACGGCGCTATTTCACAGCGCTTCCGAGTAGCGTCCCTGCTAGCAAAGCATTGGCTTAAATAAAGGTATTGACACGAGTCGCGATGATGTAGTAGTCGGTGCCGAACACCCGCCACCGCCAGCACAGAAGTGCGTACGCGCCACCGCTAGCAGAACACGGTTCTAAATGGCAACGTTCCCACAGCACGCGCCACTGAACCGGTTTTTGCCCGCGAGTATAAGGTTCCACATCATTTTTTGGCTGCTTGGCTACCCGGGAGACGACGCGTTCTACGCAAATATGCCAACGTTTCAGCCGCCATTCTGCGACCTACAAGTTTGCAGGCTTTGCCTTGTGCTTGCCTGTGTATTCTGCCACTGACCGTTGTCGGCTGCCTGAGCCCATGGCGGTGTGACTCTCGAAACCTTCTCCTCTCGCTGACAGTAGTGGTCGGCGGTGGCTGTGTTTGAAGGGCTCTGGGGCTTCTCGTTGGCGCCATCGAGTGTCTCCGTGCGAAGGCGCCATTAGTATAAAAACTGATTTCTACGTTTCCCATGTTCTGCTTAGAATCATGTTGATTGCATATAATTTATTCACTTTTTTCACAATTCACAATTTTTAAGAAATATTTGCGTGTCTTTTTAGAGTACTACCAACGTTGAGAACCACCACTAAAAGTTTGTGGAAACAAATCATGAAATCCCCTAGCTTCTTCTTACCTCGCTGACTCAACACACACAATTTCAAAAACTTTGCCACGTTTATCTGTGTTCGAGGTTTTCTATGGACTTGTGCGTGAACCTCTATATGAGCTACTTATGAATGCAAACTTAATTACAATTTGAACTTCTACCGAACAGAACGTAATGACACATTAAAAAAATCTTATCGGTCATCTATTTCAAACTCTCAGTAACCAAACTGTCAGTTTCTAGTGTTATGATTTTTAAATTATGCTCTACCTTACGGAAGAACAATGTCATCTTTCTCAGTTATCAATGTGGCAAACAATTATTGCAACACCATTTCACAACGGTACATCATCTTCGATATGACAGAATTTTTAAAATAGATTTTCAAATAGTATATACAGGAATGTACAGGAAGGTTTGATACGAAGTACAAAAACATTCTCGTAGATATAACGGGTGAAATAACCCTGCAGTCCAAAAAGATGCAAAACAAACCGGTTAAACAAGGCTCGCGAAATCCATTACAGAGCACAGAGAGCGCCAGAATAAAACGAAAATGCATCACATACAGTATCCCGAAATTCAATGGATTTCCCAAAGCGAAGCGGCTAATCGGCAAACTGCGTTCGCCATTAAGTTCTGATTGTCGGTCGGCGGTCGGGTTCTGCACAATCAACGCTGAGAGGGTTTGGGCACTCAGTGAAATCGCACTACTATGCTTGAAAGGGAAACAGAAGAGCGATGAGTGACCCACATCTGCAATGGTCGGAGCGTTTCATTTCTAGATCGCAAAGGCGGAACGTTAGCAATGTATTGGATAAGTGTGTATCTTTATATCACACTGCCAAGTTTAATCACCCACTCTGTTGAGAGTGACTTCGTATTACAAAATGATAGTTGATTAATTTCGGAGAGTATAATCCTACGAAACTAGTTAAGTTACTCTGCTCTACTGTACGCAGTGATTTTACGGAACAGGATAAAACCGGTGATTAAGACTAATGTTTGTAGTCGTGTTTTCCTACGCAACCAATGTTTGTAGTCGACTTCAAACCTGCAAGAGATTTTCTACACCACCAGTTTGTTTAAAATGACTGAAATATTTGATTTTTTAGACAATTTTGATTTTTTGGACGATTTAAGGGAATTGACCGTAATTTTAAACAGAAGACTATATAAAAATATGTTAATTCTAGACTTTTAAACGTACACGGTAATTTTTAAATAACTGTACTCACAAATATTATTGTTCAAAATAAAGTTAGGACAAACCAAAATCATATTTAGTCAACTTTCAACGATCTTTCACGTCATATGTCAAGAAAGACTCAGAGTCACAATCATCCAAATATTGTCACATAATAAAGATGCAAAAATTTGCTTTTAAGAATAGTTTCGTTGAAGTTCAATTAATACGATAAAGTATTATTAGAATTACTATTTTAAAGGTATTGTTGTAAAACTGATATATCCTGAAATGTTTCAACATCATTAGCTATCACAGGCTGCGTATAAAATAAACGTGCCAATAAAGTATTCAGCGTAATTTGTCTATTTACTTGCAATCTTCTCTAACAGAACTGGGAGGATCTCTGTGCACCAGAAGACCTAGCGATGCATTTCGGGTACAGCGGCATTTCCAGAGCAGTGACACGAATAAAAAACAATATTTGCGTGCAGCGCTTCGCGTTTGTTTGGGCAGGTGGCGCCCTCCAAATCGAGCGGCGACGCGGGGAACTACTACTGGATTCCGCTCGCAAATTTGCTCTCCTAAAAAATCCCATTCATTGATTATATTTGGCAATTGGCAACATATTGAGAAAAAATAAATAAAACATCGCGTTTGCGAAATGAAATAAAATAAATAAAAACGGTTAATTAAAATTGCTAAACGGGAGCGGGGGAGTCGTTAGCAAATGCCTAGCAGTCGGGATCAAGCATTACATAGCGTGTCCTACGATTCAAGGCTGCATTGCAGAAACGTAAAAAAAGACGCGTATTCAAAACAATGCATGCGTGAGTAGGCATAGTTGGTCCGGGTGCGATTGCTTTGTCACTCACTCATGCCGGTCAACCCTGGGGTACACGATTAGTCAGTAATGTATATAAATTATTTGCATTCATTTCACGAACGTTGGCCAACTTGGGTTCGGACTACGGTATTTCCCATTGCCATTGCACCAACTCCTAAGACAAATTTTGTGTCTTTCCATCAACTTTAGAATGTGCCCACGAAAACAATTAATTTTTTTCTAGAATTAAAAAACAGTGCACTTGTGAAGGGTGACTGATTTTTTGCTGGGCCTGACATTGAAACAATCGCCCCTGCAAGTGTTCTTGTCATCAGTCCTACTACACAGTGACACACTACTTAAAGCTGATCTTGAAAGAGCTGTCGTGACAGGAACAATGGGTTTGCTCGACATGTGGCAAGGGACTGTCAACCTGATTCAAAGAGCCCTTTGTTCGGAAATACACTCCAGACGTCATAGCGTTCTCTCTACTCATTATTCTGCCCTCTTCAAGTAAGCAACAAATGATAAAACGTCCTACAATTCAACTGACGCCTGACCTTACCTCTAGTCTTGCGGGGTTTTAATTCAGAGTAGGACAAATGTCTTATATGCATTCTTATTTGATTTTTCTCATCTTTATGAATGTATTTATAAAACATATTTGGTATACTGTCTTCAAAAACGAAATAATACGTAATATTTAAAAAATTACTTACCTAGCAAGAAATACATTCATAAATCGACTATGCTATTGAAATGCCAGTTCAAAATTGACATTATAAATCTGTCAACTATTTTTCATGATTCTTCAGATGAGAATGTTATTATTTCTCTAATTTTATTTTATTTATCATGAACTCTGTGCGCCTCCAAAACATAGCCTAATTGGGATTCTGCTTTGAGTTTATCCAGAATCAAATCAATATACATAATACATATACTATTCTAAATAGATTTCGACAATTGATATGCTGAATTATAAATACAGATTGTGCAGAATAATGTAAATTACTAATGGTCAATTGAATATCGACATGAATACTTGTGTGCAAATCATGAAAAGGAACATGCCAACAAAATTATCGTAAAATTTCGTGTTTAATTCATAGAGGTTATATTTTAAATTTATATCTCATTTAAAAATGTAACTAATGTGTGACTTCGTGCTCTTTACTTGTATGTAGAGTTATATTTTATATTTCAGTGTCGTTTAATTTTGGATACTCCACCAAAGTGTCCACTTCAAAGTAATAAACGTACGTAACAGGGACGTCAACTTTTCGGAAGACAAGCCTAATAAAATCACCATTCTTTTGAAAACTCGTCTTGCGGTTACATTCAAAATATTCGTGACATAAAAGACACAATATTGTGCCCGCAGATTTGCATACATTGGGGTTTTACAATTTCCAAGAGTATTTTACGTAAATCTTCCTTCTTTTTTCATGTATCGTCCTCCTCACTTACACGATACAACTTTTCTCGTACCTCACATTTTCCTCTGTAAAATCTCTTAAATGCTCTTGTAATTTAATACATATTATATAAATTATAACATAATATATAATATATAAAGTATACGACATTTTATAAGAAATCCCGGTTCAATAAAATCAGTCACGCTGTTTTGAAAAGTTTGACAAATTTTCCGGCGGTGAGGACAGATTTTAAGTGATCGCGACTTCTGAATTCAGAGACATGACCAGAAGATGAAGAATAAGGTAAAGAAGAATAAGGAGAATAAATTGAATGACTGAAAGTCACTTTCATATACCAGTTATCGAATATTAATTTATGTTATCCCTATCCGCCTCTCTGTGCTGACCGATTCCCCATTCCCTCAACATTGTCTGTTTCCCTCACGACCTGCGACATCTCTCACTTCTCCAACCACACTTCATCTCCCTCTAATTCTCTCCTCCTCGATTTGCCTCGTCCCATTCCTCTCCTCACTGCTTCCACGCCCGCCTTCTCTCTCTCTCCCTCTCACTCTCTCTTACTCTCTCACTCGGCGACCCCTCTCCACCCATCCACCCTCTCGCTCCGCCCACCGCGGGGCGCATTGCAAGCTTTTCGCAAATGAAGCCGATGAATTATGCTTCTTTGAAAACGAGTTCCGTCTAAATGAATGGACTTCGCTGAAATTGCATTTCCAGCGTAATTTCGTTGGCCGCCGCGCCGCGCCGCTCCGTGCCGAGTCGAGCCGCGCCGCGCCACCGGCAAGCTCTCTTGGTTTTTGCGCCGACACTGCAGCCTGGAATGTCCATCTCCAACAGAGGGTCTCCGGAGAATCGCGCGATTTTGCACGGGCTGAGAATTTGGGGGCTCTGGACGTTGAGTAACTATGAAAAGCGGAATTTTGACCGTAAAAGCCCATTCACAATGCAAACGTAAACATAAGTACAATGCATAGACGTAAACATGAACGTAAATGATAGACTGAAGTACTCACAATGTCTAACTTAAACGTAAGCAAAATAAGAGTTTCTATTTGCTGTGAGATATTATAGTTTACTATTAGTTAGATGTGATAATCGATTTCGAGGTATCTACTGTGTTTATGGCCTAAGGTACCGACATTTATCGACTTCGCTATTTCCATTATCGATTTTGAGTTAACGTACTGTGATTGGCTCATTTCTCATGTCTTACTTAAGCATACGCACAGAAGCTTGAAGCTTGCAAGCTTGTAAGTTAACGACTTACGTGTTATGCTTATGCGAACGCATTGTGAATGAGTCCGCTTCGGGGCGTAGTCCTAACATTTATGTTAACGGCAGGCTTATGTTTATGTTTGCTTTGTGAATGGTCCTTAATAACCATTTTTATCGACTTTGATTTCTTAAAGTCAAGTTTTAAGAAAGTGTGATAAGTTTCGTAATAAGTATTATTAGAATACAAAAATTGTCGTAAGTCAAGGTTTATCATTAACTTCGAGAATTATACTATCAACATCAGTCTCTCGCAGGAGGAAGAGGAGAAGAGGAGAGTCAGCATCTTTTAGTAGTTACCCACACTCATACAGTTATAAAGTGTCTTACGACACTTATTTCGCGCGCAATTATTATGATTCGTCAGTACCGAAACCTCTTCGTCCCAAATGAATGGTTCGGTGGACAAGTGATGGATGATAAGATCTGAATGAAGGAGAAGTAATGGTGGTATGAGATGCAGGAGGAAATGGACCGCAAACCCGCTTTGTCCATTACAAACTCCTTATAGATCCACCGGGATAAGCACGCATCAGTATATTCTTTATTATTTAAAATTACATCAGTTACTAAGTGACGGCCATATCTGAAATGAACGAGTAATTCGATGGATAGATAATTATTAATAACTTATATGAATAACGTGGAGACATTGTGAAATGAGAGGCAGAGTAAAACGAAAAACTTCGAAGAAAACGCTGCAAACCCGTTTTGTCCAAATTCCATTAGAATTGACCGTAATTTGAACACCGATGGAAATGGCTTTACAAACAGCAACTGCACCACGGGTTGCACGGACTTTTGACGCAGTCGCGTTTGCGTAGCGTTGCATCAGCCGCCCTCTGTGGCGAAGTGCCGTCGACCGTCCACCAGGTGGAGCGCAAGTCAGCGGGTCCGAATAGTTCATTGAATCCTCGCATGGCGTCACGAGGCGTTTGCATCGCATCGAGTTTTCGCTTTGGGTTTGCGGCGTGGTTGATTTCTCTCATTAATACTCATCATCTCATTTATTGCCAGCCATCTCTTAACATCATTTGTCTCTTATGATCAAGGCACCATTCTTAAAAAATGGAAGGTAACGGGAAACCACCACTGTGTTCACTTGCCAAGATTTACAGACAGACAGATCTTCGTCTTCGCTCGGTAATGATTATGGCTTTCACATTATTTACGTCGTGGTAGGCCCGAAAATTTTAATCTTGCAGTATATGCAACAGGAAAACAAACAATACCTTTTTTTCTCACAAATGCGTAGCCCATTGAAATGAGCAATAAAAATATATTAAATTAGCTAAGAATAAAACTAAACCTTGGGACGCAGTTTTTTCAAACAAGAAACTTCATGCAAACAATTAATTCATTCCGTGTATGTTCCACGCTATATAGTTATCTAATATTACCTAACAGTCGTTGACAATCGAGAAATGTCAAATAATGTAAATTGCAACACATATCTACCCGAATGGCAAAGACCCTGCCGAGAACGTGACTATGACCTGGTAATGCTGTGGATTAAAAAATTGGAAATAGTATATATGTTAATACGTATTACTAAATCATAAGAAAAAGTCAAATGCAGAGAAGTTAATTACAGAAATGTCAAATACAAACAATAAGAATCCAATACTGCAATAAAATCTGTAAAATATGTTTATGAAAAAATACACTGAATTCTTCATCGAATTGTATACCGTTGAATTGTATTGAAACAAATTAAACTATTTGTATGTAGTTAATTACCTTGTTGACGGTACAATAAATAAATAAACTATAAAAAGTGCTGATGGTAGGTCTTCCTCCTCGCTTGCACTTGATCTTCGAGTCCGTAGCTTCATTCAAACGGCGACCCCCAAATGTGACGGATAAGCGAAGCAGCTATTGCCGCTCGGGCCGAATTTCCCCGACTGAGCACGCGGCACCCGGGCGCAGGAGAGACGTCCGCTAAATTAATTTAATCGGGGCTCGTTTTCAATTAAGCGCTTTGTGATCAAATGTCTGCCCGTGTCTTTGATGCAAACGAAGGACGCTGGGACGGTATTTTTGCGGGATGGAATGATCTTCCGGAATAAAAAGGGTTACTGTCCAATTACAAGCCGCCTGTAAGGTAGCGACTTTGAGCAACGTGACTCCACAGAGCGACAGTGGTATTATTGGTTTAAAATTTCATAAAGCCGCCAGGTTCTTCTGAAGGTGTCGATCTCTGTATATTTGGAGCCATATTAATTCAAGACACGAATAGAAACGTTCAAAAAACATCACTAATTCTAATAAAAACCAGCCTATAATTTTCATAATAAATGACATTATTTACTTCAATGTTAATATTTTCTTCGTTTTATTTATTGTGCTACAACTAGTAGATCAAAATCAACATGTTTTGTCATATCATTTTATAGAACAAGAATGCTATTCTAAAATAAATGGTGTAACAATGGCGTTCGAAGTGTGTGAATGAAATATTTTGATTGTTATTGCCATTGTTTGATTTATTTTTAATTTCTGTTTAATTAACCATGTGACATTCAAAAGTGGGAGTCAGTGCATTCAGTGCAAAAGCTGAACAGGTAATATTTGACATTTATCATCACCGCTAATATTTACGAACTGTATTCATCTTATATTCAAATTACTATTCAACATCAACTAAATATTTTCGTTGATTTATTTCTTTATTGATAAAATTTAAACGACTGTAACATTTCAAATAGTTGTGGCACAGTCAGGAGGGTACATGCTATTCCATGTATTTCCCGACCGCAAGAGCAACTGCCAGGTACAGAGCAATTCCTCGAATTCACCG